GGAGTAAAATAGTACCGTACGGCCCAACTTCAAGCACTAGTTATAATTGGAATCTACAGATCAGGGTAGCCAAAAATTACATAATAAATTATAAATAAAACTATAATTTTAATAGGAAGACGCACAGAAGCTCAAGAGCCCTCAAGTGCCTGCATTTTATTACAAAAAATATTCATAATAGACCCACCATATTTCAATATCTTTTAAGATTTAATATTTTTGAAGCTTATATTAGAGAAAAGGAAACAAAACGTATCAAGGCAAAAGGAGGAAGCAATGTTTATGTTATACTTGAATCATTTGTTGTTTCTCATTACAAAATACCGATGAAGTACGCTTTGACGTTCAAGTAATCAGTCTTTTCTTAATTAATTTTTGCTTAACCACTTTGCAAACTATAATGAATTTCGAAAATTTTAAGCGTTTTTTATAAAAGCACTTTAAAAATCATAATTCATGGATTCCTTCCCCCTTGATTTTTAGATTTCTCATTCTAAAGGGTATATTTGTGTCCGTCTACATTTTATACACGTTTATATGGCCACGTTTTTATTTTATTCCCTCCCCCTTCATTTCAGTACCTCTTGAAGAACGCGACCAAAGATGATGCAACAGTTTCTTACAGTATTAAGACAGCGGTGGGTCTAAAGGATTGAAAAAAAAATCAGAGAATGCGATTTCATATTTTCTTTAAAATTCCGTGCAGATATTTTGAAATTAAAAAAATTCAGAAAAACGCTTTATTCAGAAAAACGCTTTGACCAATCTGATTATTCAGAAAAACAATTATCAAAGCTTTATTCAGATTATTCAGAAAAACGCTTTGACGGTACAGAAAAATTTAGAACAGAAAGAAGAGCGTATAATAATTAATAAGCAAAGTAATTCGTTATTTCTAAAATTTAAGTTTTTACAAGCAATTTTTTATTCAAATTTGGATTTAGCTTTCTTTCCATCTTTATTATAATTCAAGCTCTTATTTATGCATTTAAATACACGCATACTTGGCATACATTGCTTCAATTTACGCCTATTTAGGTTTTCCATATTTCAAAGATCTTGGATTGATAGGAGCAACGATTCAAGACTCTGCCCATCTTAACACACACCAGGTAGTTAGAACCTATAATGAAGTTAATATAACAAAATTTTAGCATGAAAATAGATTGTTGTTTATAATTTAAATAATGAATTTCTCCTCCCGGGATGAAAAGCATCAAACGCCAACAAAGAACAGTAAGTTATATTAATGATGGACTAAGCACTGCAAATGAAATAAACAAGCATTGCTACTTAGAGGTTAATTTATAAAATCAGAAGAGCTAGGACGCTATGAAAGGCGAAAATAAATAAAAAGTAAAAGGAAATTAAAATAGACGAAAAATAATAAATAATTAGCGATTAAAGATCAAAACCCAATATTAAAAGAAAGAAATAAAAAATGCAAATAAACTAATGATATATAATAAATTAAATAAAATGAAAGGTGAGTAAAGTAATGATAGCAACACGTGGTACAGAGGCAAAGGAAAGTAAATATTCTGCACAGCATTCGAGAGCTGATAAAACGGCTCTTTCATTTTGGCTTCTACTCCATTTAAGGCTTCCTTGACCGATGTCAACACACCATAAATACTCCAACTTCCTAAACAGATCGCATTTCGATGCACGGTGTTCCTCCCAGCTACTTAAGGTTTTTCGCAAAGAATTTAATGCCAATACTTAAAGAAAATACAGCCGAAACTCATCCCATTTTCGAAATTCAACCGGAATTACAATTTTTCTACGTACAGGCGCCATGTTTCGGTTGTTTTAAGTACTGCTGATATTCGGATATCGAGAAATATATAGATAGCACGACTGCGAATAGCGTACTCCCAACTTCTACAGCCATTCTTACTATAGAGTTCCTGTAAAAAATGTATCTTTTTTTTGTTTGTTTGTTTCTCCTTTCTGAATGTAATAACTGAAAAGGAATGCGAGACTTTCTGCATTAACTAGAATAATTTTACAGTATTTATGAACTTTCTCACATCGTTAAACGTTAATACTAAATAATGGTAATAACAATTTTCAGGACTTGTTTCTGACCGTAACAGATTTTTAATTATTCGTTCTCACATGATGACAGCTCTGCGTAGTCTTTCAACCGTCAACTTCCGTTCAGATTAAAATCATAAGTAAATATGATCAAATCATAGATTACAGACCTTAGCAAACATTTCCGAAATCCGTGAATGAACTGCGTTTTCTTTTTTTAAAATCAAATAAATCAATTATTGACCTGTCCATTTTATGTCATAAATTCATGAAAGAAAGCTTAAAAATATTTAATGGAAACGTAACTAGAATTCTAAAAAAGAGTGCCTATAGTTAAATATCAGGCGCGATCACTGAAACCCGTTTCACTGCTATATGGTGTGATGAAAGGAATAAGTAAAAGTGTATATATTAGTACATACTATACATACACTTATACTATAAGTTATAGTACAACATGGCAAAATATCCTCGTTCCTCTACAGTATAAATCATGTGATAATGGTTTTTGTTCTTTGCAAGAGTAATCGTTTGAAAGATGGAGTTCCGCATGCAGAAAATGCTCAGAATACACCAATATACTGAAGGATGTCAACCAACTGAAATGTTTCGTCGAATGAATGAAGTGTATGGCGACGCATGCATCTTAAAAATAACAGTGATGAAATGGGTAAGAATGATTACACAAGGACGTGAACGAACAAGTGTTGATTCCCGTTCTGATCAAACCCACGTTGCCACAGACGACAATTATATAACGGTGAATGACATTTCGTTCGAGCATTCGAAAGCCAACCTTCAAAATTTTATACCCAAACCATTAGCAGATTGGTTATATTCGTAAATCGGGATTAAATATCTGAGCGCCCATGGTGATGAAAATCATGAATAAATGCGGTGAAGTGTAGTAATGTAATTATATTACTTTCGAAGATTCTGTCACCAAACGGATTCAGTTGATCAACTGATAGTAAATACATTTGAATGCGCAAAAAATTAGAAACGGTTAAATTACTTGTTAATTCAAGCAATAGCGGGCTATCTGCCTTAGAAAAATATAAAAAACTTATCATGAGAACCTTGAGTTATGGATGAACAGTGAGGATCAATGTGGAAAAAGTAAGGTCTGGCAAAAAAGATCTCCCCGATTTAAAACAAATTTTATAGAGCAATCATAGATTACATTCTAAATTTTATTTTTTCGTGATACAGAACAATATTTGTTATTTTTTCAGCACTTTGTTTTAAAGATCATATTGTCCAAATGCTTGGCCCACACCAGCGATACGTATTGAATGCCCACTTACATGTTTTCCGATACACGCGTGATCATTAAGCTCCGATATTGCTACTATATCAATATAAAAAGAGTCCTTTTAGTTCCTGAACTATTTGCAAGCCTATGTTTGAAGATTTCCACTTTTAGGAGCCTCTAAAGAAAATAAGTATTTTACGAGAAATGTTTCCAGGCCGCTTAATTTCGTGCCATGGTAGCAGAGCATCAAACGCAAGTCATACATAAATGAGGAAACAGGAAAATGCTATTTGCACACAGAATAGTGACGATAACGAAGGCAGTGTGTGACACTGCAGAACTTCTGGTTGAGGCTTTAGAATTGCAGATCGCGAGGGCAAACATTTGGATTATATTACCTGTAAAACAGAATGATGATAAAATGGCACACAATTATTCTATATAATGGTAAAATAAAATCTGAAATACGACCCACAGTGTCTTTTTTTATTTCCATTTGAAATCGGGGAGACCTTTCTACTAGACCCTGGCAATGAATGAAGCGTTACTAGCACTTTTGAAGATTAGAAAAATTTAACATCCACCGTACGAACTACTAGATTATGCTGGATCTTTCTACTAGACCCTAGCAATGAATGAAGTGTTAACTGGCACTTTTGAAGAAGGAAAAATTAACCTCCACCGTACGAACTAATCATTTTAACCATTGCTAGCAAACAATCTATTTGAAGATACGTTATAATATGCGCTATTCATCTAGACTCTGTTACTTTTCGCATACATTATTAATATAGTTACAAATTTAATAAAGTATAAAATAGTGTAAATGTCACTTTTTTGTTTTAAGAAATTCAAACATTTCTTCAAATATAATTTTCAAATTTATAATCGCATAAAATTGTATTGTTCATTAGTTATACTGTATTTTATACAACTTTTGATACTAAAAACATTACTAAATGGCAAACTGTTCTAATTAAACTATAAAGATACTGACACATGATGCTTGATAAAAGTGGTTAAAGACTTTATTTCTTTAACTAATGATCTCACAACACTTTAATGAGTTAAGATATTTCATACTTTTATGTACAAAATTGGTGGCGAAGATATTCGCGAACCAAATTACTTAGATAATTTTCCCGTAATTGTGGCCTAAGTAATTCAAGACTTCTGGAGCTAACTTTAGAAAATAGCAGCAAAACAATAGTTGCTCGTTTTGGAAAAAACTGGCTCCGCTCTGGGTACAACAAGCATAATGAAACTTTAGCTCACCCGTTTAAAGAGTTTATTAAGCAGTCTGTAAATCTTGGAAGTAAATGGACGGAACGTTTAGACTCATTAAGGGCAATGAAATTTTAACTAATTGAAATTTTTTATTCTGCAGAGACTGTATAACATTTATTTATACAGTTTTACAGAATTCTTCTTCCCTAAAATGCTGAAATTGCTTTCACAAAAACTTCTCTATCTTATTTTAAGAAACTTTGCAAAATGTGGTACATCTCTAAGATCAATATTTAAGAAAAGGAAGCCAGTAGCCACCTTTTCAGATCATTCTGCTTATATAATAAAGTTTAATATCGTAACATAACATTAATAATTAGTATATGTGCAATTCATTACAATATAGACATGCACAGATGACAAAAAATATCAGGGATTTAAAAAAAATCACAATAAATCACAATGCGACAAATTACCGGACTGGCGGGTTCCTCTTTGATTCCAACATCACCGGGCTCACTATCAGCTTTAATATCACAGGTTTGGTTTTGATTTTGAGGAGAACATTGGGGACTTTCTGGATATTCACTCTGAGGGACAGAAGATTCAGGGCTCCCAGATTCACAGCTACCATCTAAAAATGAGGTTGCATTTCATTTTTCATTGAAGAAACAAAATCAAACATTCATATTGCAATAGCATTTTAAAACACTATTACACAATAAACTAAAAATAGAGGAAAGCTGTTTGATACTAAAAACATTTGTAGTGACGTCTTTTCTAATTTAGGTACCACCACTTTACGTTACACAAACAAAGACATTTATCAGCCAAGCGGGCGTCAATGCCGTTGCCATTCCAAATGATGTAAAATTTGTAATTTACCTTCTACGTAGATTGGCGATTAGTTATAATACAGCCACTCGACTGGCATAAGATCTTTAATTTAGTTTTTTAATTATAACCGCAGTTGCTTAATAAAATGAGCAATTGAAAACAATAAGCATACGTCATATTTTATTTTATTTTTTTAAATACTGGGATATCAAAGTTGGCCTATTCAGAGCACTTTGTAACCAGCAAATGCCAAAATATTTGCCAAAATTCATTCTTGCATGATCTGAAAAAGAATTATGCAGGGAAAGGGGTAAAAATTGTCCGCTAGAGAGCGCTTTACAATGTTTAAAATAGTAAAATACACTCCTTCGCTGCAGAATCCTTTTCCGTATGATCTGAGAACAGAGTAAATATAAATTTTGCTGTCTCTCCACTAAACCGAAGCTGTCTAAGATTTGGAACAGGTCAACTTTAATTATACTCATCCTATACATCTGATATAATTCGCAATACCTTTATAGTTGATAATTAGGAATATATAAAAATGATAATTTTTATGAACATTTGCATATATGCAAAGAGTATACTCTTTTGGTAATTAACTAACGCCTTTTTAAGTCTTCTAACGCCTTTTTTCAGCTTTAGTAAAAAACAATCATTTGGATTTTCATATCTTCAGAATCTTTTATGAGAAATTCAATTCAAACATAAAACATAATTTTGTGATATATTTTAAACCGAACATTTTACCAACAATTTAAGATTGCGTAAAAGTTTAAGCACTATAAAAAAGACCTTCTTTTGGTTGTAAAACGTTCTATTCTGTGAGTGGCATTTTAGAAGTCATTACCGATTTGACGATCCTTTTGCAAAAACAGTAGAAGTTTACATTAAAGTCAGTTCATTTTTATGATTAATATATAAAAACAATTGGACCATTTTATGCGTGACATTCACAGTAAAAGCATTCGTAAGAGGAAAAAAAATTACGCCAATAAGTACCTTTTTGTGAAAATACAAAAAAATGAACAAACATGACGATGAAATAGATGGACACACATGCTAAAGAAAAAACTTGTTAAGTCAGATTAGATTAATCGGAAATGAGGACTATTCAGCCGAAGAGGAGGAATGCCTTCGCGGAGGACTTTCTACGAGAAATTGGCTCCTATTTACGTCCACAGAAGTAAAACCATGAAAACTCATCTCGGTCGAAATGATCATCATCCATGCAGCCAACCTCAGTTTGCTTGGGTTCGAATTTGAGTAAAACTACTAGTATTCAGCTGTCTCAACCGCTCAGGCCAAGATACACGTGAAGCAAAATATATGGTCCATTTGCATGAAATATTAATGTCTCAAACTTCGTCATTACCGTCGCAAAATCTTTTCTAGTTTAAGAGCCATCATGTTACGTTACACTACCAGACCAACGTAACATGATGGTGATCCTGGTACACCTTACGTGACATTTTAAGGGCCATTGCTTATATAATTCTGTTATGAGAAGAAATCGCTAACTCTCTAAGAAAAACTCTCGATATATAAATATATTAATAACTTATTCTTAATTGCGAGTACGATATAAAAATACAAATATTTACTTTGTCTACGAACAACGTTTTCCATTTAGCAAGAGACAAAATATAAGTTTATATACTACTACGACTCTAACTAGTTTCACTGGTCTCGAAATATTCATAAAACTTGGTCAGTTTACATTTTTCAATGTAAAGAATATGAAATTTCAAGCAAGTTATGCCATCATTTCAATTTACTGCCAAAAGAAGTGAAAGAAGAACCCATTAACATTTTTTTCACTTTAAGATTATACAAAGATTATGAGTCAATAAAATCGAATTTTAAGTTTTTCAAAATTCAGTAAATATAATCAAATTACATTTTTTTACTCTTGCCGCCCAGACGGTATAGTGGTTAGGGGAGCCTGACTGCGATACCAAAGAGCCCGGGTTCGAATTCCGGAGAAGGCATGGATGTAAAATTGCCTGTCCCTTCATAGGAGGTAACTGTGGCCGCCTATTAGGTGCCTCCACAATAAAATGGCTACCACTTCTGGCCTTAGTAGTGGCAAATGCAGTTATAAGCAAGTGCCCGCCATTTGTAAAAGAAAAATTTTTTTTACTCACCAAAATTTTGTGAAACGACTCATTTTTCTTTTTTTCATAAAAATTCATAAGTATCTAAAGAATACTTCAAATGACTTCATTTAAATAAATACACTTTCAGTCTAAACTTCTGATACACTTCTATGATTAAATACATTTTATAATGTCATAAAATTTAAGAATGTCTATCATACTTTGAATTTAAAAGAAATTCACTAACCCAATACTGGCATGCTCGTCTAAGAATTTAAGCAACGCTCTTTCTAAATTATAAAATCCAGTGGGATTCAAAAGTTCTCGCTCTAATTTTAAAATCATCTGTTATGATGTCAAAACAGATCTTCAAGCGTTGCTATTTGGAATATTTATGAGTTATCTCAAACACCAAGATATAATACCAGATAACAGTTTGCTTATGTAGAAGGTGAACAGAAATAAAATTGCTGCTGCAACGAGTTTAAGAACAGAATATACTGTTAGAAGCCAATATCATGATGAAAAATTAACGCGGTATCCAGCTCCTTCGAAGGGAGCTGCCTAATCCTGCTGCGGAAAGAAAAACTAATGTAATTTTTTGTCTCCAAAAAACATCAAAATGTGCCACGCATTTAATAAGTTATTCGGGAATGTTGGTTGGTAAGTTAAACAATTATGGCAAAGTATGCGATGCTATTTGCCACAGAAAGGATACCTTCACGGATAGCATATGTCCATCGTCTTCCAAAAGTATCTCTTCGTACAAGAGGTTGCATAAAGGATCGCAAGTGCTACAATACCACTGGTGAGATTATCTATATTCTTCAGATTGCATAATTCTCTTTGGCATTTTGTGCATCTGGGGCACTCTGAGCCTCTGTATCTGTTTAAGGATCTCCTGTACCTAAAGCAGGGCAAATATCATCCGAATAAGATAACAATTGATATGTCTATTATACCAACCTACTTTTCCAAGTTCTATGATCAGGCCTTTCTAAAGCAGACAATTGTTCGTAGCGCCGTCAAGTACATCTCAAAGACAATTTTGTACACAAATTTTAAGTACTAAAGCAAAGAGTCTTCCCGTGAATGAGAACACCAGTTCATTCAAACGCTGTATAATTCCTCTTCGCCTGCTACTATACATCCAATTTTGTATACGTTTAATATATATATATATATTTTTCAACAAAGTTTATAACTTTACAGCAAGCCTAAAATCTAATTCAAGCATATTATGAAGGAACATAACGAAAATATCGTATTATGAGTGAACATAATGAAAATACTGTAACATGAATTAAGTAACTGAATTAATACTCAACAGAATTAAGTAATTTATGAAAATTATATATTAATGTTGCAAATTTGCAACATTAATATATCATTAATAACAGCTCTCACTAATGCATTGCATTATTCACTTGGCGATATAAGCATTTTATCATAAAAGTGTGACACATGCATGATTATTTTCTGTGTCAGTCTTTAATGCAGATACTGTAAACGCTTTAAGTTAAATGATATAACTATGAGGTAACTTGGTACCCTCCTACGTTATGATAAATTTGTTATTCAACAATGACATACGCAGAAGCTTTTATTTATTTTTGTATAGGTCCCTCCTTAAAAGAAATACTGAGGAGCAGGCTGGGAGTGCTAGGAAGGTCTCGTCGGTCATTTGGAGCGAGATGTATCAAACAATAAAGCTCCAATGCTTCCCTTTTTCCTTTTAATCGTGACATCGCTGAGGCCTCAGAAGGGTGATTTAGCCATTGACGGGTTACTACGTGACAACGATACTGCCTATACCACTATTTAAGCTCTGCTGTCCTTTATACTTGCACCTGTACTTGTCAATTCTTACCGCGCAGCTTCGGCTAAAAAAATTCAAGAAGGGAATAAAAACTTCAGATACCTGACAGATAAAAAAAGTGATACAGCAATGCAAATGCAGAAGGGTACTACCTTCAACTGTAAAACTGTGAGAACATAAAATCACTTCAATACTTTATTAGCTAATAATTCGTAAAAAGGGTGCAAATGGCTGTAATTCCTTGATCTGATAAAAACAACAGAAATTATCATAAAATACGTACAGTCTTGTTAAAGTATCAAAAAAATATGCTGATGTTCTCTAAAACTGAATAAATATTAATTATAGATAATCGAATAATCATAAATCAAAACAGTGCTCAATGTTAGTGAACTTACAGCTAGTTTTGACAGTGCTCATCAACAATTAAAATTGCTTAAATAATTTATTAATAAGTAATTAGTATAAATAATTTTAAAAAGGCGCAAATGTCACTCTTTTAAAATCAATCTCATTCACGCTAAACATCGCGGTTCTTGATATATTAATTATACTCATAGTTAAAAACGCGGTTCTTGATATATTAATTATACTCATAGTTAAAAAAGTATATAAGTTTTTAGGAGCTATTCTTAGCCGTTTTTGTACTTCTTTAAATTTTATTTCTTGATAAGGGCATCTTATTTCAATAGTATTTATTCTAAGCATGAACACAGGAGAAATCAAATTCTATATTTAGTTACAATTTATTCTTTATATTATAAAACAGCGTACCATTCATCGGTTTCGTTCATACTCAAATGCCACCTACTAAGATACTAAATTTCAACCAAGCAATCGATTTAAAGCAGTCCAACAATAAACTTATGTACCATACAG